GCCTGTAACAACCAATCAGAAACTCGTACCCAGGATCTTTAGCTTTCCATCCTCCTTCATTTCCATTCCCCGAGCTTGAGAAAAGGAGAGGCCGTTGACAGGACTCTCTCCATTGCGAAGAACTAAGGGTGCGTTTCTTTGGGGTGATCTGGATCAGGATCAGTGATCCAAGATCACTCGGATCATGGTGCATCAAAGCAACCGGTGAATCCGCTCTGGTTACGGATTCATCGGCTCCTTTGATGCCCCATGATCCGAGTGATCTTGGATCACTGATCCTGATCCAGATCACCCCAAAGGAACGCGCCCTATAAGTATCTCCGGGTTCTCGTAACAGACGGTCGATGAAAATGGTAACAATCTCTTAGAATGGAATAGATGCGCAGTGCTTTTCACATCTTTAACTTGTTCCGCCAAGTCTATACCGCGTAGCTCTAAATTTTAACCCTGTGTGAAGCCTTAGGGTGTATCATGTGCATTTACTGTTTATTATGCTGTTCAAGGTGTTGTTCTAACTTTTGAGTCAGTGAATGAAACCCTGGTGTGTAACCATTCAAATAAAAGCTGTCGAGCGCTGCTTTTACATGTTTCTTTTTTTCCCTCAAATCTTACAAAACGAGATCTAGAGTTTTAAAAATAAATAAACAAATACATAAATAAAAACATTTTGTCACTGTCAGGAATGAAAGGGTTTATACATGTACATTCTCGTTTGGTTTTTGTCAAAGTTCGATAGACAAAGTTGTATCACAAGAAAAAAAACACTACCGGAAATTTTTGCAAGTCGCGGTTTTCACACTTAAAGTATTATCCCCGATTATCATTACAGAAGACTGATGGTTGGCCAAATTACATTTTAAATCATACCGGACTCCCGGGTCGTAAATCAAGAATTATTTCACGTACGTATCAACTGAACACCGGATTAGAAGTTGAAATTCCCTGGGCACGCGATGTACGACGATATTTTCAAGGCTGTCGATAAGATAAGCCTGTGGAATATCCCTTTATTAAAAACCTACGCCAAAGCGACGAGATAAAGAGCAACGTTTGAAGTTATCTTTTTAAAAAAAGAATCTTTAACAAAGATAAAACTGTTTACCAGTGTTTGCATGCAAGTCAGCCACATTTAAGACATTTAAGACATTTGAGTGTTTCCGGTCATAAACAACAAAAAATTGCGAAAGGAAATACGGACGCCCCTGCTTTCAAGCATTAAGTTGAAAGACTTTTCGCCCGATTACACATAAAGTTAATTGAACTTATCCAGAATGAGACATGTATCGAGACAGAAGGGCTCTATGGGTGGGACAAGAGCGCATGAGACCCTTGAGATGTCTGCAGGTTTTCGCGCCCGATAACTGCCGGGTCACTGAAGTAATTCAATTAAGTGGCTATCGCATTTTTCCTCTATTAGAAACATATTCACTCCATGTCTAAGCGGTAAATTTGAGAAAACCGCAAAGTGACGGCATTAAAGAAATTCGAAAACAGCACCTCACAAGACTACAACTGTATTTCGCCCAGACAACAATCAGCTAGATTGTTCGGTGTTCTGTTGTTAAAAAAACAACGCAAAAACACAAAACAAAATAAATGTGATCTGCAAGTTTGCAGATGAATTTCAGTACCACCATGGAAGGTTGTTTAGGGAAGTTCCTCTCATAACAGTGATTCGGGTTAAAATCTAGCACTCACGATTTGAGTTAACGGTTTGTTCTCATCTTGTTCCATAGCCCGCATGTCCTGCATAACAAGCTCTCCCGCATTTTTGGCGCGCAAAGATTGCGTTGAGAACAAAACAAGCACGAGTGTTACAAAGTAGGTTTACTTGCTATGGATTTTTGGTGCCCTTATTGTTCTCTCCAGACATGGAGTTTATAAGTTCACTCTAGTTTATAAGTAGATTTGAAAATTCGAGTATGCCGTAATAACTGGGGGTTACTGTAGAGGACATACACCTCAGTGTTCACACTAAAGAACTTTACATGTTATTGTTAGAAAGGATTTTTTTAAAAATATCCATTTCAATGCTCCACTGTTGCAGTAGTTTGTGACCCTACGATCATGATAGTGTTATTTGGCAGCACGGTATCAACTCACTGGAAGTCGATTAGATATCTTTTGGCAAGCGTGTGATTGTTAATTAAATTGCAAATATTAATTAAAATAGCATAAAAGACCACACCTGTTGCAGACATAAGGCTTTTCACCAGAATGGATCCTTTGATGTACATTCAGTTGATGAAGCCGGCGGAAGAATCTGCCACAGTCTTCACACTTGAACTTCTTGATATCTACAACAAGTGGTGCAAGAATATCACACTTGAATCTCCCAATATGAGGCACTTTTGACAAGAGTACTGATCACAAGCGTAGAATTTGAGTGTGGACAAAGGGTCAAAAATTAATTTCCCTTTGTGGAAGATGTCTCCCAGTGGAGGTCACAAAAGAAGTACATCCGGCCAGAGGAAAATAAAACAATGTCCCTTTTGAGGAGGTCAGCACACACTGGAGGGCACAAATATAGTGTTTGTGTGTGACTAGAGGCCCACAAATTTATGTCCCTTTGTGGGAGGTGTCCCTTAGTGGAGGTCACAAAAGCAGTAAGTAGCCAGAGGGAAATAAACCAATGTCCCTTTCGTGGAGGCGCGGTGGCCTCATGGTTAGTTTACTCAACTCTGGATCGAGCGGTCTTGGCCGGGGACATTGTGTTGTGTTCTCGGGCAAGACACTTTACTCTCACAGAGCCCCTCTCCACCCAGGTGTATAAATGGGTACTGGTGAACTTAATGCCAGGGGTACCCCTGCGATGGACTAGCATCCCATTCAGGGGGAAGTAGAAATACTCTAGTCGCTTTGTGCTACAGAAACCGGGATAAGCTCTGGCCTGATGGGCCACTTGGCTCATATGCAGACTTTACCTTTTACCTTTATAATGGGTCAACACTTACCGGAGATCACTGGTGTAGTATTTTGTGTGTGGTAAAAAGGCCATAAATCATTGTTCCTTAATGGTAAGTGTACACTTACTAGAGGTTAGAAAGTGCTTGAATATTTTATACTAGGCTGGAATCATTTATACCCTAAAAGAGGTTCCTTCACAAATGCTAGAAGCTTAAAATGTAGCATTTGAATGTTTGTGTGTGGAAAGGACCATAACTTAGATAGTCTTCCCTTGTTTGGAGGTTGTGAAATGTGAATACCACATTCATGTGTGAATGTAAAGAACCTAATATTTTCTTTTTGTATCTGAACTTATAAACTCTTCACTGACACCTTGACAAAAATTTTAGAGGACTGATTTTACAGCCTTCTTCGGGCCAGAATTCTCAGTTTCAGCCAGGTAAACCTAAAGAGTGGCGGTAATTGACTAAGACAGACACTTGAAACATTTTTTAAATGTATAGATACTGGAAATATTTCCCATTGTACTTTTTTACACTGACCTGTGTGGATCTGTAAATGTTTCTTCAGATCTGATGGGTACTTGAAGCTTTTGTTGCACTGTTCACACACCCTAGGACCATCACTTAACTTCCTTTTTCCAGTAGGGTTCCTGACAGTGATGGGCTCTGTAGTCAATGAAAACCATTGGGCATTGTTACTATTTATGTAACATCTACAGAGCTAATTTGAACGCAAGCATTGCAATGTTTTTGTTACTATGCTGAGTAAAAAAACAGGCAAGGTAATTCAGCAAGTTGGAGATCATAACTGTGATGGTACTTTGGATATCTGATCTTCAACTGGGTGCAAAGAAAACGTAGGGCTTTTTGGGTTTTTTCAGGCAAGCTGTTACTACATGTATGATGTGCTAGCCTAAAAGTCATTCTCACTAGGCCCCTTCCCCTCCAAAAATAATAATAATAATAATGGTAATGATAATGGTAATGGTAATGGTAATGGTAATAATAAGAATAAGAATAAGAATAAGAATAAGAATAAGAATAAGAATAAGAATAAGAATAAGAATAAGAATAAGAATAATTATCTCTTGTATGTGTACTGACCGAAGCCCTATGTGCCACCTAGGCACAGATAGGATAGATGATGATGATGTGTACCGACAATACTTCCATAATTTGAATTTCCTAGTAAAGAAATTTCCTTAGAAACTTCACATTGCTATCAGGCAAGTGTTCAAAGTAAGAGTCCATTAGCCCAACTGCAAAATCTACTAGCCTTGCACTATCAAACATGACTTCCTTTGTATACTGTTAATTAGCATTAATTTGTATGATATAGTTCATGAGTTTAAGTTTTGATGAAGATGTAACCAATGCGAAGACACTGTTTCTAGCCACATTTCCATTTTCCAGACACCTTAAATTTCTGAGCTTTATGTATCTTCAACTCTCCTCTCATGTTTTGGAGATATGTGATGAAACTCTCTTTCACATGGTTAACAACTAAATGGAGTTTGCTGCTTCTCAAACCAGCAGCAAAGTCCAAATGAGACAAGCAGCACAGTTCTTCCACATGGAAAGAAGGATTTAGGTGAAATGAAATGCTGCGTAGAGAAGAAAGGCTATAATCTTCTCATATTAATTTGTAAATAATTTGGCACTCTCCCAGATGAACAGCACCCTAAAAATGAGAACAAGAAGCAACCAGCATTGAGAACCAGAGTCAAACTTACTTTGTATTGCACCTGTAGCCTCCACTTCACCTTCTTCCAGCTCAGCCACATTGTCACCCCCTGGTTGTGCCACAGCTGCTTGAGTTCCAGCTACCATGGCAACAGTGTCTGTACCAATATCAACAGTGGCCTCCACTGACAAATCACCACCTCCACTTGAACCTACAAGATAACAACACGATAAAGAAGAATTACACACACACAAGTAAATCAAGCTACACTACACCCTTTGCAGCTGGGGTCACATGACCAAATTTTTCCTAAAAAAATTTCTTATTATGGGCTATAACTTAAAGAATGCCAGAAATGGAAAGAGCGCATCAAAAATACCGAAATGGCCAAATTTAAAGCCCCAGGAATTAACAAGTAAGTTTATACCACAGTTTGAATTTTTGGAAAATTTAGAGGATTTGTATGGAAAATGTTGCTGGAGAGCAAGGTGTTGCTCTCCAACAACTTTTTCCATACTTTATCCATTCTTATTCTTTCAAAAATTCAGACCGTCATTAAATCTCATTCTCTGATGATGGGGGCCTCAAACTTGGCCATTTTGGTATTTTCGACATGCTTTTTCCATTTCTGGCATTCTTTGAGTTATAGCCCATAATTTTATGAAAAGTAGGTCACACGATGGCTTAGTTACAAAGGGCCTCTTGTACCTGCAAACACCCAAGGTCATCAAACTGAACAAATTTGGCAAAACATACCTTCAGTCTCCGCACTGACATCTACAGTCACTGTTTCCTGGCCACTCCCAGCTGAACCATCATCAACAGCATGAAGACCTGCTGTTAACACCTGTAGGGTTTCAGCAGACACACTCACTGCACCTCCTTGGCCAACCCCACCTGCTGGGAGATTTGAAACAAGAACAGGTCGCACTATTGGTACACCATTCTGATTGACAATTAGGAAAGAGCCACTGCCCGAGTTTGGATCTGTAATGATAGCTGCTGGGACTGTTCCTGTACCGCTCTGCATTCCAGATACGACATCTTGGAGAATTGAGGCTAACGAAGCAGGAGGTTCCGAGCCTGAAGTTGTGACATTACTAAGCAACACGCTAGCCCCTTGGTTTGGCTGGGTAAACTGCTCACTGGTCGTAGCAATGTAAGCCGCTTGTTGTTGTCCTATCTCTACTGCAGTGTTTTCTTCATTCTGCTCTTGCACTTGGTTTACAGCTTCCTGTCCCATCTCCATGGCTAGGAAAATTGGCTGAAGGTTAGCGTAAGTGCGCTGCTGCTCACTGGTCAACTGAGCTGCATTGTTGTCTGTTTCAGTGGTGTCTTCACTGCTATTTGCTGCCTCAGCTGGAGGTGCTTCACTCTGTTCACCAGTTGTGTTGCCTTCATTGCTTAGATCATTAGCAGTTTGCTCTTCCTTTACATCTGATGCTTCTTCATTCTTAGAAGAAGCTGATTCTGTGGTAGCTCCAACATTTTCTCCTACAGTGAAAAGTGTATGGTTAGCAAAAGCCTTCCAATTCAGTTAGAGCAGGATATCAGGAAGACATAATGCAACAGTCAACTCTAGTAGTGCCCATTCCTCAAGGCTAACCCCAAGGCATTAGCATTTGTTTTCAAACAGATGGCAAATTCCCAAGGGTTGAGGCAAATAAGTGGGTCAATTGCCCTGGGATAAGAGTGAAAAAAAAGCAAACGCCTTGCCCCATGCCAAGCTCATCCTGAAAATATCACTGCTTAAAATGTTACAAATCATATGGAAAGCTGTTATTCACCAACATTTAGGAAATTGCAAACATGTGACATGTTTCTATCGACTTATAGAAACACGAGTGGAAGTTTGGGAGAATGAGAAATGCTGTTTCCACAACTCGATAGAAACACGGAGAACATGTTTTCTATTTCTTTTAGAAAACACCGCGACAAAAAAAGGAAACAACTTGTTAACTTTGATTATCAACATGTAAATTCTCCTTGCTCGTGCCATCATTACGTCACCAGCTCGTGCTAGTTCTGTGTTTCTATCAAGTTATAGAAACATGATTTTGAATCAATCAGCATGCGTATTTTCTTAGGACTGTTTACTAACATTTTGTAGTACATGTATGTCATTCTATTTACAGTACATACTTCCATCAGTCTTAAAACTGGGTAAAAATTTCCTTGACAGCGATATACGATAGCCACTTTTGGTTTATTGTTTTCTTATTATGAAAGCCATGTCCTATTTTGACATGCACAGCTAGACTTCATAAGTGTACTATGATCTTTTACTAACGAACAAAAAATGTGAAAGATGTTCATGAAACTAATCATCTCACATAGTTTTAGCCTGCGAGCAGGCTCACCTTTGCATCACGTGTGCGAGCAGCGACGAACAAAGCGATCCGGTGGGAAGGAGTCTGGTGAAGAGGTGCCAAGAAAGTGAGCCAGCCTGCAGCTGCAGCCTGCCTTGATCTCTGTAATCTTTTAATTTCTGCTTCACCTGAGTGAAGTGAAATACCATTGGCCGAAAAGCAGGAAAGGCAAGAAAACTGTCAATCTATTATGTTTGACGAGGAGTGATTACATCCCCATGGATTCAGTAATTTACCGCACATTCTCACAGTAAAAAATAAGTTGTCCACATTTGGAGTCAGAGGAAGAGTTGAGTGCACGTATTACTGATGTTTTAACAAAGTTCCAGTAAGAGGGAACAGGAAATAGCAGTTGAGAGCATGTTGATGAATCAAGAGGTACTTCTCGTGTTGCCAACTGCATATGGGAGGAGTTAAACATTACAAACGTACAGATTGCAAGCAGGCAATGAAACAACATGAAGGCACTTGCCCATTAACCAGCATCATCAAAGACCAGACTGCCAAAGCAAGATTACTTAGAATCAAGTGTGTGTCCTTGCTAGACATAAACATTGAAGGTTTCTCTTTGGCAAAACTTTATCAACAACGGATATTTGCACCTGCATGTTGTTATGAATAAGATTTACAATTGTCCCGAGAAATCTGAGCTGCCAAAGTTCATACTTCAGGTAAAAATTAGTTGGCTTATTATTTCTGCGGTTTCCGGGATGGAAATGAAAAATTTGCAGAGATCAGAGCAGGCTCACTTTCTGGTCTTGTGGCTTCACCGCTCAATTTCACCCTTGCGGCTACACCATGCACACTTGTGCTTCGACATGAGCCTGCTCACAGGCTAACATAGTTTCAGATCTTATATGGGGTTAATTTCATTTGAAGTGGTTTTAAATTGAGTGCTATAAAACCAAACCCAAAGTAGTCACTCTGGCCAGACTTAAGTAGGACATAAGACTACCCAATGAACCAATCAACACTCAAAGAACAAAGAAAATACATGTAGCTTAAGTGGGAAGCACGGGAAAACGTGTGTGAGAGAGTTACGATTGGTTTTAAAATTTGGCTTTACTTCTAATTGGATGAAAACATGGTGCAACTTTTTTTAAGCCAGTCATGCAGGGTGTTAAAGGAAAATCAATACCTCATTGACATATCAGTGAAAACTACACTCTGTGATCAACATGACATGAAATTGATAAAAGAGCATGATGTTTTTGTTCTCCGCCAACTGCGAGACCAAAACCTCAATGGTGTCAAATGTTCTGGGGTTGTCCCAGAGGTAGGCAAATGTCCAACTCCCAGGGTGATAAAAAATTTCAAATGCACCACTGCCGGGATAAAGACATGATCAAATGCCTAGCTATTGGTAGGGAGGGGTGGGGGGAGAATGGGCTCTGAGGGGAAACCCTACTGCTCTGCTCTTCCAGTAAGACGAACTTCTTACTAAATTTGCCTTTAGGTTTACATCTTTTTACTTTAAACAAAGACTTCAGTCCGTTCAGACCGAAAGATTTGAAAAGCCACCAATCATTTATTTATTTATTAATTTTGGAGCATGAAGTAACTGAATGGATATTGGCTTAGAGAAACATTAAAAAAGACAATTGTTCTTTAGACAAGATAATTAGATAATTCTTTATTTAGCTCATTCATATATTTACAAACAATTTCACAAACTTGGCACATAAAAGTGTGATTCTAAGACCTTCTAAGTATAGATAAAAACAGCAGAGTTTGAGCTGGAATGCTAAATTGACCAGTTGGGTTTCTTGTAAGCTCCCCTACAACTGACAACCATCATACCACAAAGAACTTGCTTGTACAAAATGCCAACTGTATCTCAGTTCCATTGCCAAATATGCAAATTTTCTCGGAAAAATGGCGCTAAATGTACAGTATTATTGCATATATTATATTTACAAGCAAAAGACGTTTGAAAACTTGCTTTGAAATTAAAGCACAACATAAGCACTTGTAGCCTAACACAATACAACTCTGGTTTCCCATTTTCCGTGCGAGGGATGACTTAAACTGCGTGAAATAGGTCGAAATCAAACCGTAAATGTGACACCATCTGAACGAAAAGAAAGAACCTTCGACAACGCCATTTGCAACGAAATTGCTTCCACATTGTCGGGGAGCAACTACTGTAAATTTACCACTAGCAAATTAGTTCCACAAAGAAGATACAAGAATCTGGCGTCCTGTTGGGATTGAGTAAGATTGGGGAAGGATATTTATCATAGAAAGAAGTCTGGGGCGACCGCCATAACGTCTTAATCCTTTGAAGACCTGGGAAAGACTTGCTTTCTAGAGGAAGGCCTGGGTCCCGGAAAACAACAAAACTTTTCGTTCGGTTTGCAGAGAACACAGCGTCCAAACATCGGTAAACGTTGGCGAAGAAAATGGTGTGTTTGTAAGGATGACCTACGCGAAAAGCGATGACGAAATGCTCGCCAACTCGGACATCGAGCGAGACAAAGTGATTGCTTACTCGATTAGCCAATTTCGGAGGCTTATCGCTATTCTAAGCTTACCTTCTTTGTTAGCAATCGTGGACTCTGCAATCGCGGCGAAAGATGCCAGATCTCCTCCGTCTTCAAACGACATCTTTAATCACTTCCCAGAAGGACGCGTCAGTATGCGGACAACCTACAACGAAACGACGCCATCGTCAAAGTAAATGACAAAAATATTGCAATCATAAGTCAATTGCTCGTTAAATTTAAACGCTGTCGAATGGTGGGCAACGTTATTTGAAGATTTGTCCCTCCATAAACATTTCTCTAGATACCTTTCGTCTATCAAATGCCTCAGAGTTCAGTTTATTTATGAGACGACAAACCAAAGCATCTATCACAAGCACGAGGCGAGGGGAGGTAGGGCCGCCATGTATATGATCACGTGATCACATCTGCGCTAAGTGATTGGCTGAAATGGGTTCTTTTTCAAAGAAGGCCTTGCAAAGGAAGATAAATGACTTTCATGATCTTTTCTGAAGCCAAAAATAGCGCGTACACCCCTAAATAACAAAACGAAACAAAGTTTCATTGTTCTTCCCTGGAAATCCTGTTGTATAGTAGCAATAGCAAAAATGGTGGGGTGGGGGAATAGAGATTCAAACAAAAATTTGGGCCCTTCAGCTACAAAGGGGAGGTGGGGAGCCACCCTGGCCTGAATGCAGGCTAGGTACCACTGGTTAGGGAAGTACAGATCTAGGAAGATGATTGTTTAGTCATGGGACTAGGTGTGGAAAAATCTGAGATTTTTCTGTCCTTTCGTTTTGCTTCTTTTTTTTTCTTTTTTCTTTCTTTCTTTTTTTTTTTCAAATGTGCATTTCCAGAAAATATCCATACTCCCCCCCCCCACCACTTTCCTGGGGGTGGGGGAGGGAGTTCTGTGAGACTAAATAATTTAAAGAAATGTATGAAGCTTAATTGGAACTTCCAGAGGGGTGAGGGGTCTTGGAAAAAAAATCCTTCCGTGGGGGAGGTATGGATATTTTCTGGAACTACACAATATTTGGTAAAGTCATGGGTTTTTGGAGTCCTGTAAATCTTTCCTTTCTTGCCAATACCCATCCCCTGGAAGAATCTAGTTTTCTTCTGTCAAGCAGGACTGAAAGTTATAATTTCTATTTATTTATATTTTTTTTAAACAAAGAGGCCTTTGAATGTTCCCACAAAGAAACAAATATGCCAGACAAAGCCAAGACTTGTCCTATTTTTTTTATTATACAATCACCACATAAGAGTACCTTCAAAATTGAGTAATTTCCAAACTTTTCTTGCCAGTTTCTGAAGTGCACATTTAAAGCAAACATGAATTTATAAGTAGACAATTATATTAGGCAAACACTAGCCTGGGCCATGTGGGTGTCTGATTAACTAACACAGGCTCCAGTGTATAATGCCTGTTAAGGTGGCTCCCTATAGTTTTACAAATGCACATGCGCATAGGACAAAAGTTCAAGTAATCTGCGCACACGTAAGTGTTTTTTGATTTTTATGACATCAATATGAGCACAAAAAGCAAAACTGACGGTGAATTTTCTCGCATTTCCTTCAGTTAATTTTTTTTTAATTTGGCTCAGTTGTAACCACATACAATTCCTATAACATACCCTATTTTTGCTAAAATCTGTCAGAGCTAATCTAATATATTTGGAAGAATGACAAATTACGGAATATTGGAAAAACTGTGTGACCAACCTTGACTTTTTACCAATTCAAAATGTCAGGCAATATCATTTCCATGATGTGGCAAAGTATGAAAAAATATTAAGGAGTTTATACCAAAATGAGGAATATATCTGCCTCTCATTAGATGAGATGTTGCCATGGCAATGGCCTTAATTCAAACCTTGACAACCAAAAAGAATAGCCTTATTTTAACAGTGCCCATACCGGTAAATCTCCACAGGGAAAGCTTTAACAGAAATTAACTAAGTTTCCTTTTCTAACTCGTGCTCTATAGGGAGGGTGTTCATAAATACTCTAGGGAGCCACCTTACTTGTACATGTTGTGTTGGCTGTTATGACGCTCCTTCGGGTTTCTCACAGAATTCTTCAGTTTTCATAGCGTGTATGAACCCAGTACCCCAATACAATATAATCCAGTATTTTGATCTTTGATCCAAGAGAACAAGTCTGACAGTTACAAGACTGTTTAGCCCTCAAGGGGAGGGGGCACTTGTGTGTAATAGTGATACAGGTGTGAAACCCTTTTTTGGGTTTGGCATTTGCGATATACCTTGTTTGGGTTCAAAGTTTTGTGGTGACTTTTTAAAGGTTTGAAATAGCCTGTTCCAGTTGTTTGGTTAGTTGGGATCAATACAAAAATCAACTAGAGAAAAAACAGGCACCCTCCCCCAATTGTTTTCTCCTCTTGCTGTTTTTGCAAAGTTGCTACCCAACCGACTGAATGTCTCTGGAACAGGCTAGGGATGAAACATCTTGGTAACTGGGCTTAAATAATAGTGGAAGTTAACAAAAACGGCAACCCAGGATACTCAATATGTGAAATGATGATGCACTCATCCTTGTTACACAAAGTTGATTTATTATTTTATTGAGGTCCTGCACTCTTCTGGTTTTCAACAAATAATTGATGCTAGAGAAATCCTACATATTAAGCTTCTGGTGTGGTTAAACATCTCTACGATATTTGAATGGCATGAAATTAAAGTTCCCTCAACCTAACTTAAACTAGACTATTCATCAGTTTGGTATTTACTACAGAGCAGTTAAAATGCAGACAAATAGAAAGCAGTTAAAACGCAGTCAAATTCAAATCTACTAATGAGATATCAAAAAAATATTGTTGCCAATAAATTATCTTCAATGATGACGCATGAACAATTGAAAATAAATATATCATTGACATAATTAGAAACTAAAGTGTCAAAACAAAGTGTTCCTGCTATCAATGATTTGGTAACAATTCAGTTATATCAATCTTTTCACTTCTTTTGTCTTCCATGCATTCCAGTGCTTAAAGGCTATTTAACAAGTAAACTATTAGCCCTCATTTTCTGTGAGTGAGTAGTCACTGAGGCATAGCCAAGTTGACTATCACTCACAGAAAATATGGGTGAGTAGTGTAATTGTTTAGTTTGAGTAGAAACTCTAAAGGATCACTGCACAAAAACTTCAATTTTGTCTTCTTAATCCTAAAATTAAGACTGATTTTCAGTTTCAAAAGCAGCATGCATATATTAATATGATCGCTGTCTATCAGAAATTAGTATTAACCTACTAGCTTTCTATTGCAAATGCCATTCTCTGATCGGCTACACTACTCACTATCTATTCTGGGATAGATAGCGAGTAGCAGAGCAGTGTGCCCTTGTTAACAAACTGACAGCTTTTCGTTTTCGAAGTGTCTGTGAAGAGGATTTAGATGAAGTTTTGAACGACTAGTAGATTTATACTAAAACAATTTCTATGCGTGATAGTTGACTCGGGTTGCGCCCTCATCAACTATCACACGATAGAAATCTTGAGCTCATAATCTAATTGTTAAATAGAATACAATTAGAAAACCAATCAGATTCATGGACTTTCAATAGAACACAGCTGAGTGGCTACTATAAACAATTACAAGGAGTGGCAAACAGTACTTCAGAAAATATGTCTTGCAAAATTTTGGTCCGATCTTACATCTAACATCTCACAAAGTATTATATTTACCAGCCCCCCTCCCTAAAATAGGCAAACAAAAGATTTCTGAAGATTAGCAAAACGATAAGATCTTCATTCAAAATTTCTGAAACAGAAAACATGCTCTATTATGAAGATTCAACAGTCGCTTGGATAGATTATGATACTTGCACCTTGCTTGGCTTCAGAATTTGATTCACACACGGATCAATTTGCGACAAAGGCCAACATTGTCTGTATGAAGACTACCTCAAAAAAAGGATTCTAATAACTTAAAATCAATTGAATTTTACAAGTAAATTAAATACTTTTTAAAAGTATATTAAAAATAAATGATGTAAACTCAGTTATGTTTGTACCATGTTTGTACCAAGTTTGTTTTTCTTTTGAACAGGAGTCAATTCACTATTTAATAATTATTATTAAATAATAGCTGATTGGTTAACCTAGAAAAAATCCATTAAACTTACTTGAGCAAACATAATTGCAACTGATACTTTCACAAGAAGTATAACATTATTTCTAGCTCATTGCATAGTTGTGGTTTAACAGCTCCTGGCTGTGTAATTCTCATGTACAGTTAATAGGGAGCTAAAGCAAACCGGGATGACAACGGCAACAAGAATGTTACCAAACAAAAGGTTAATGGGCAAAACAATAGCTGTGCACATGCAACAAATCTTTGTACATTTCTTTCGCCCGAAAGAGGTACCAAGATGCTGCTTTGTGGCCAGCGTGGCCTCAAGAAATTGTTTTGACCCCTAAGAGATACCAATTCTTAAAAACAACAAATTATCTCCTCTCATATTTTTTCAGGTCAGTACCCTAAAAGTCTCCTGCTTTGGACCTTGTGAGGCTGAATATCCTAAGAGGAAGCAAACTGAACCACTTTTTAACCCCCAAAAGGCAAGACAAGAATCCCCATCTTTTTTATATGGGACTCCCTGCCTCCCACCTGAGATTCTTACTGGGCTATTCAATCTTTGAGTGTTCAGCTAAATGGGAATTGTGCATTAATTAGTTAGGGCACAGTTAGTGGTTTTAGACGAAGTTTCTATCCCTCAGCTGTTTGGGTTTTTGGCATTTTTAAGCAATAATTATTGTTATTATTTACATGTACAGCAAATAGCAAAACTGTTTTACCAATTAATATCTAACAAAATTTGCGAAAAGTGCATAAGCAAGTTCCCTTGGTCCAAGCTTTGTCATAATGCTATTCTGTTTTCTTTGACTGTGGTGCATACAAAGCCTCAACAAATTTGTGCCCCACCAAACAAAATATCTTTCCTATTAAAAATATCATGACAGGCTGATGGCAGCAGGCAATAATTCGATAGTATGGACCACTGAATGGGTCGCTAACTGCTGGGCACACCATGTTGTTGAGGTTGATATGAAGCAGCTGTGAAAGAAAAGAAACCTTGTTATCTCCAACGTTGATTCAGAGAGTACTTGTGTCACTTTGGAAGTAGACTATGAGTGGTCTCTCTTTCACTAAGTCTGTCATTCACGACATGAAAGAAATCCTTGGGCAAGAAGCTAATTTGGTCCTGTTTCAAGGATTCTGTTTTTGGAAAGTGAAATAAACATTCCAACAAAACGTCCCACATCAAAATTATCAAAACCATATGAAGCATCCCAAGTGTCGACGATGCGTTGACAACTAGTTGTCAATGCTCCAGCATTAGCCAATCATGTTTTTGCTTTGTGAGAGCAACACATAATTCTAACTCATTGGCTTAGTCAGTAGTCCATCCTTTCATGCGCTCCTTGCCCCCGAGATTTTGTGCAGCCATTTTTTTGCTCACAATTTTGTTTCGTGTCATACAACAGACTAAGTGAAAAAGGGACTACTCATGAGTAGTCTCCTTTGCAAGTTATGGCTGTATGCCACTAGATAGACTATTCTTGGACATAACATTCACTCTCTCTTATGATCATTTACATTAAGTTGAGTCGGAGCTGTAATCAGAAGTGTAGAGCGATACAATCTCGCGAAAATCAAACCGATGGACTCAGAAGCAAAACACTGATTCTGATTCTGCTAGATTGTTGGATTCGCAAGCAGAAACTGAAGAACAACCAATTACAATGCTCGATTCCAGGCATCCTGATTGGTAGGTTCTTCCACTTCTCCTTAGGACTCCTACAATCTTGTTTGCACTGGATCATAAGGGTTGGATTCGTAAGTGGAATCTGAAGAAAATGGAAACATTCCAATTCTTCTGACTTCAATTCCCTCAAGCTTATGGCTCCCCTAAGGACTCCCATTTTTGATTTTTACATGTTCATAAGCGTTGTTATGATTCTGACTCCATCTCCCACTTCATCGCTAGTGAAAACCAGNATTCATTGTTCAGCTGCATGAAGGCTTGTTTTCCTGCAAATTATACATGGATTAAATAGCTATACTTACTATCACTTACCATTCCTAAAGGCTGAAGAAACAGTAGCATGTAGAATGAAAACACAGTGAACGTCAAGGTTGCCCAGGTGAAGTCCCAAACAGGTTCTAAAGTAAATGGCCCTGTCGTAGAGACATTAGATGAACACTAATAAGAAAGGATACACGGTATAAGGATATCAGAGTTTCTCCCTGATAGAGGTCAGCCAAGCATTAACAAATGTTTAATTTGGTGCCAATCTAAGCTAAACATACTACACAGGGACCTTTCGATAGCAGCAAAAGAGATTGATCGTGAGGTTGAATACAAGTATGACTTTTGAATTTCATTGCCTTTAGGTTCTCAGGGCCCTTACTTCTATCTGTTGCTGACCAGTTGGACAGGTGACTATTGGAATGTGATTGGTTTGAAATCTGTAATCAAAACCATTAGCATCAGGTTTGAATCTTGCACAACTGCCCTCGGCGTTGTCAAATCCATTCGGCTGCAGGTGATTATCACCATCTACTTAACAAATAAAGAAGCCTAAGCCGTGTATTACACTGTGATAAAACCCAATAGGCGTTTGAGAACACAAGGGAAATGTAGAAAACATGAGCCATAGACGATTGTTTTCTACATTTTGCGAGTGTTCTCAAATGTCCGGAGTGTTTTATCACAGTGTACTACACAGCTTAGGCTTCTTCATTTGCTTTATAATATAGAGGTAATGTGGCAAAAAACAATAAAACACCCTTTTTCTATGTTTTGTACTCTGATAAAACATGGGTTTTTGACCAATCAGAACGCGCTCGGGGTCCTATCTATTCAACAAATTGACATCAGCTTTTTGTGTCTGTCCTCTTATTGATGATAAATTGTGTCATAACATTGTCAAAGTGGTTCCGCAGTAAACTTTGACAATGTTATGACAAAATTTATCATCAATAAGAGGACAGACACATAAAAAACTGATGTCAATTTGTTTTTTACAATAACAAGACCCCAAAATGGTCAAATGCTGGGAATAAATGAAGGGGAAAAGAAGCCGTAAACTTGCCGTAAACAAAGATAAGTGTATTTTATTCAAAATAATAATAATAATAATACTTGAAAGCTTGCATAAATTAAAACTTTATCCGTATGTACTCTTATTGATGATAAAAATGAGCCAATCAGCACACAAGAAATGAGACAGTTATTGGTGATATTGGCCGGCCAGTCTGTTGGGCAAAATCGGCCACCCACTCCTGCAAGACAATGAAGCCACCTACTTCAAATCTTTGTAACAATCCTGTACCCTAACAATTATTAATACAACATACCTTGACATGAGACAAGAAAAAAAGGAACAATAATTAGAATAAGGGTGTGCTGTATCCAGTATGCTGCAACCTCAAAAGGCAACTGAAAACAAACAGAATGTCATTAAGGATGGTGCCTACTAAATACAAAGGTTTTTGCGCCAAGTTAGAACCAAGGGCTATTGGAATCCACAAAGAAAAATGTGGGTATCCACGCATTCTTTTGAGATAATCAGCCTCGAACCTCAACAAAAATGCTGACATCAGCATTTTTCTGAAAAAAGAAGGAAAGGATATTTGTTCACAGATTTCCTTAGAATTCGCCTTAACATACAGAAAAGTAAACACATTTAAAAAGATCTTTAAACTACATGGCAAATGGTAGCAAAAACCATTTTTGGTATGTTTTTAATAACGAAATCATTGCAACAGTGCTCTTAGTGTCTCTGACAGCCTTCCTCTCAATCAGCTAAAATACAGTCTAAATACCTTTTGCTCACAACCAGAAACTAATGATGTGTTGAATACGCTTGAAACCTTCATTTCATAACATAAAATGTAGGGGTAATCACGCATTTTTTAAAGTTATTCATCTTTTTTGAGAACTTTTATGCTGCCTGTTACATTACTTCCTGTCACCTCCCCAGTAAGTAAGACATTTGCATCTCTCGCACTAGTTTTGTGTGCGCACTACGCCATCTGCAGGTACATGTTTACAGTTGGATTTCAGTATAATTTTCAACAGATTACAGATAGGTTTTCAGCTGGAAGACCTCAACAGAGTGGTTAGCGATATGCTGCCATACTGGTGCTCCTGGTTTAAGTACAGGTTCATTTTTTAATTAACTTAATTTGGTTACAGTAGGAATATTTTGCTTTCATTTTAGTCCTGTACTTGGTAGCATAGTTGATTGCATCAATGTCAACCCCAGCACGCGCATGGCGCCTAAACCATGCCTTGCATGATGCACAGAACATGTGCGCACTAACAAAAGTAGGCACCATCCTTAATTACATGTATGTTAATTACTGACAGTATTCATTCTTGAACATGATTACTTCTCCCATGTCCTCTTAAACAAAACAACACTAAGAGATTTCAGCATTTGAGCAGCATCTCTAGTCAGTCCAACTCAATTACATTCATTTGGTTATAAATTTGCATGGGCACTCCTGTTCAGAGTACATGTATGTTGCAGTATTAAAGGGGCCCAGTCACGGTGTTTTGTCTTTTTTTTGGCCACGCACAAAATCTCCTTTAAATCAAAGGAAACCTGAAAATAATAGTTTAGTAAGATAGAAAAACATCAAAGACTGATAATAATAATAAACCATATTATTAAAGGAACAAGGATGGTTAAGGATGGCAAAGATTAACATAGATTGCAAACGACAAATTTGAAAAATTTAGGCTACACTTTTCAACATGTGCAAACCGTGACTGAGCTCCTTTAAGAACATCAAATTACTAACAAACGTCTGCCTTAAAACAACATACATCTGAACCCTGAAACCCATAGGATTGAAAGATAAGTGGGCTAGTATTTAAATAAATGTATTTTTCATTAAGGATGTCATACTGTATCTGACTTTTAAGTCTGCATCATGAAGTCCATCACCAGAAAACAAACTATCAATATTATGTCAACGTTATATGCAACTTGATCCTGCCTGAGCTTTCAGGCCAACTAGATCATGCACCTTGGTGTGCATGATTGTATTTCACAAAGGATGAAGTAAATATTATTTTGAACTCACCAATCTTGTATTAACCACTGGAAACAGGAGTGCTTGAAAAGCACCAAATAGCAAATAATTGTGAATCCTGCCATCAAGAAAACAAAACACACAAACAGATGTAATTTTATATCTACCATACAAAGAACCACCCATAATGAAAGCAGATCTTTTCTCCCTCGACAAACTAAGGGTGTGGAGGTGGTAAAATGCTTTTAACTTTTAAGAAAGAGGTGTTAATTGTATTGTGGTGAAGGTGTTTACAAGAATAGAATCACTTTGTTTAAACAAATTCATTCAACGCGGTCAAACAGGGTGCTCGTATCAGATAGGGCAGTGACCAAAGACAATTTACCATGGAGCAACCCTACATAAAAAGTAAATCAAGTGTTTAATCTGGGAAAATGTAAGATACTCACCTAAAAACACACAAGACATGTTTACTTGGAGGAACTGCTAACAAATAAATCTAGTAAGAAAAGTGGAAACAATATTACTTAACAGGCATATAACTTAAGGCTTGTTTGTAGTAAATAGTACATTTTTTCAAACTATTTAAAACATTTTCTCACCCTTCTCAGGTTCTGGTAAATATATAGTAGGAAACAAGCTGAAAGAGCTTCACAACATCAATTAGGTTTTTAAAATAGCAAATGATTGGAAATACATTCAGATAATTGTTCTTAATTAACAATTTTCAAGATCATTTTAAAACCAGTAAGTAGCTGTATCATTGTTTTCACAGCTCTACCACTCATTTTTGGCTCATAAGAAAACTGCTGAATTGTATTTGTAGTGTTGCAGTATTGCTGGTTTCTTTTGGTTGTATAACTTGCAGAAATCAGATGCTCTCTCCACAATATTCTCCTTGTGTGCAGGTTGGCCACAGCGCCAGAAATGGATTCTTGTACCACTAACAGACATATTTAAAAATTTCTGTTAAACATCCCCAGGGGGAGGAGACAAATGTTAAAATCTGAGACTTGCCCAGATATCAAGACCCTTGTTTGAAAATCTAAGACAGAGACTTCACAATTTCAGGGTCCAAGACAAAAGGAAACACACAAAACGAGATTTGAGATTCATCACAAAAGATCCTGGGATTTTAAGACTGCTTCAAAAGTTTCTGAGACCCACTATTTTCTTGGTGATTTCTAGGCACCATTCACCACAGCTCCAGGGAGTCCACATCAGCAAAACCCACCCCCCTCCC